TTTAGGGTACGCAGCTGCGGATGTGAGCATAGGCGCAGCGGCTTACCTTGATCATAGCCTCGTGGATGCCGAGATGGGAGTAAGACTGGAAGTAGATGCGGTCGTGCTCCTCCAGCGGAGCCGCCGCCCCTACCCCCGCTGCCGCGGAATCTCCTGAGGCGGCGGCGGCGGAGAGGCGCGGGCGGCGCCGCCCTACGGCGGAGTGGCCGTTGAGGTGCGACGGCAGCATGGCGAAATGGTGAGGAGGGCGGAGAGGCGAGGGAGATTGGAGTGGAGATTTCTGAGCGGAATCGGAACGTGCTCTCGGCTCTGCTCTCCTCAAGGGTCCGGGGGCTCCGGGCGTTCGGCTCCCTGCGCCGAAGGCCGAACCTGATTAGCTTTGCCTTGCCGGGTGGTTTTCCGGATTTCGGAAGCAGGCTTTTTGGGTGACGAATTGAAATCCACGTCACCCAATAACGATTACTATACAAATATACGAGGGTTTCACGATGAATCTAATAATGCCTACTTAGCATAGCATGGTAAATATTAGTATTTTTATGTAAATTTGATCAAACTGGATAAGCTTTGATGTTACATTATTCTATGATTGCATTCTTTTTAGATAGAGGAAGTACACATCAACCAATTTAATACGTAGTTTCTAAATAAATCTAATAGTAATCAAACTTGTGTTATAATCATTTAGGTATTGATGATCGAGTTGGAAGTGTTTAACTTAGGTGGGCCAATGTTTGAGAAAGTTGTTTTTGGTGCACACCAATTTCATTAGTGGATTGGTAGAGAACGAATTAGCGAATAAGCTAAAAAATAAACAAATATAAATCATTTGTTTAAAAATTATTGACGATAACGGGAAATAAGTCTTAACATAGAAAGTATACAAAACTACCATATATAGAAAGGGTAAGAAATACATCTTTAATGGCTACTTGGAAGATGAAACGGAGACCGAGACACCGGTGGCCAACATGGGACATGCTTCTCTCTTCTCACGCAAAAAAAAAGAGGGAGGAACAACCCACGACTCTCTCATATACAGACACGCGCGGTGAAACCTCTCATTTGGCTAAAAAATGAAATCCACACCACTTGGTATGTTTGTAGTGTGATTTTAATAGATAACCTTATTACCTGTTTTTATGTTAAACATGACACGACTATTAGAGAGGGCAACTGATGACGGCAATATCGTTTGCTTATATTTCTTTTCAATTACATGTGTTTATATAATTTTGTATTTTTGTTAGGTTTGTTTTAACTTGTTTTACTTTATAAGTTTTCCATGTTGTTTTGAGTTTGGTAAGAACAAGTGTGTATAGGAACTTTAGCTTTTCTCATGCTATGAAAAAACATTTATATTTTCCTATTGCTTTGACGTTATAGTGTTATTGAAAAGTATAGGATGAAACAAGATGTGCTGTTAGTTAATATTGAGTTAAAAGAGATAAAACCCTTCAAGGAATCAAACAAAGCACATTACTTTAGCGAATACACTAGTTAACAACGCAACATGATCGTAGTTGATTGGGATTGATATATGTCTCTACCAACACTCCCATACCAGAGTCACCATCAGATTATATTGAATTATACAAAACTAAGGCAACAAGATCATAATTCAATCCACTCATAACGTGTCCGGTTAGTAGTTTTTGTCTCCCTAACTGAAACCTACTTATTTATGTGTTTGCGTATGTTTCTTATTATCTCTTATTTGTTCTTATGTTGCTTATTCAGTAGCATGGTAGCAATAGCAAAGTCTAGATTTATATCAATATATTATTAGAGGGGGTTTGGGTAGCACTAACATATTTGCTATTATGTAATTACCAAGCGACACTAGAACAACTTATCTTAGATCTATACTGTGATTGATAGGTGCTACTGGTTGATGATCAAACTACTAGACAAATTTATACCACGATTAACTCTCACATACTATTGAGTTGATTCTATAAGTTCATTGTGTCGTTCATAACATCCATAGCAAACTAGGCTGGTATCATTATCTCCATTATATAGGAAAAAGTCTATTTAAATATTGACGTTCATTTTATGATTGGCTACATATAAAACTCGGTATTATAGTTATTGTCGGGTTCATAAACCCGGGGTCCCTCGGAGACCGGCTTCTGCGTCAGGGCTCGGCTCAGGGAAAACGGTATGTAGTCCATGGGCCGGTCTAAGAGTCTAAGAAACAACGGGTCGGGAGGACAGTCCGGTCGTCGACTGAGAGATCTACCCAAAAGAACAAACGTCCGCTCGTCAACTTCGTCGGCCCACCTCTCCGACCGGAGCGCTCGCTTCGGGCACCGGCCGCCTCCAGGCGGTCCCTCCGATCGGAGGGCCTGCCCCAAAATGTTGCTTCCTACTCCGACCCCGCGACTCCGATCGGGGACCCGTAGGAAGCCTGCGTACCGCTCTTCTCCGACTGGCGCGGCCAGGGCCAACTGGAGCCATCCGACCAGGGACGCACGCTCGGAAGGGACTAGGGGCGAACGGAGAAGGCAGCGCACAAAGTCAAACCACGATACCGGGACCATACCCTGTATGTCTGCGGGAACAGTGCTCCACGACCGCCCTGACGCAAGCAGTATTGTAGGCGCGAACATTTGTGTCTATAGTATTGTAGACGTCGTTGGACTCCCGTACGGCAAAAAGCCCCCCACATGCCTCTGGACATCAATAGTGGACGCCAGGATTCACCATATCTGGTATACGTGGTGGGGCTCCTCACGTACCAACAGTATTTTGCAGGTACCGACGTCCACCCTTCCTGAAGAAGCCAACACAACCTTCCCTGTGCACCTGACGTTCTACAGTGACATCAACAATATTGTGGGCACATACCATCATCATTGTCCTCATCGGCGTGGGCAACAAAGACTTAGAAACATCCGTACTCTCTCCCTCTCACCTGTAAAAGACATCCCATTTATCTATAAAAGGTGATGCGCTCCCCCCAACAAAAGAGGGACGACTTCTTCAAGTTCAGACTCACTAGATCGATAGCTTACAACCCCTTAAGCACACGCTTAGACTTCTAGCTCAAAGCGGAGTTCTGGTCACCCTCGGACCTTTCGGTCGGACCCGACCGGACCTCTCGTACACCTCTCCTTTCTCCTTCTCGTTTGTAACCCCATTACAGACTTCGAGCACCTGGGCTCAGGAATAAAGTCGTCGATCGACCCAGACTGGACGTAGGGCATGTTGCTTGAACCAGTATAAATCCTGTGTCATTGAGTGCTAGGCCACATCCGATCACAACGCACAACAAAACTACAAATATTCACTAGTTGGTCACTTTCTGTACCGACAGTTATAGTACTAGTTTTTTATGATTGTGTTTGCCCCATGACTTGCTAAGCTACAGCCTGTTCGGTTGGCTGGTTCGTATCGTTGCTGGTTTATGAAGAAGTACTGCTGGCTGGTTTGTGTGAGAGAAAAATACTATTACGGCTGTAAATTTGAGATCGTATACGACGAGGAGGCTGCTACTCTAGTGGGAACTTGCCGCAACCAGATTAGCTGAGGACAACGGATCACGGCTGCAGATATGATGGAAAATCAAATCATGTCATAAAAAAGGTAAGAAAACGTAGAGGAATTTGTTGGTAAAGCTCAATGATTAGTGGCCGATGAAGCGATGGAGACCAGTTAACCGGCTCCAACCATCCAACGCACGCCAGCGGTCCGTGTCCGGAGCCAGGACACGGGCGGCCGCGGCGCCCACGGCCAGCACGCTGCCATGCCTCCTCCCTCCGTCCACACAGAACACAAGGGGGGGAGGGAGGCCGAGGCGAGGCCGACAGCCCCCGTGTCTCTCTCGCGCAGACGCGGCCGCGTGGTTAAACAAAAAGAGGAAATTAGCTGCGTACCATTGAAAGATCGTGATCTTCTTAAAATATCATTGAAAGTTTCACGCTCTATAAAATACCATTGAAAAATTGAACCGTAAACCGAGAGTAGCATTCTGTTAAAATAAAGTCACGAGAGTGACGGAAGCCTTTGTCGTGCCCGTACGTGATGTCGTGGATGCTCGCCGTGAACAGAAACGGCTCGTGCGGCACCCCTCCACCACGTGCAGCGCCTGCAGGTTGTGCTTGCGCACATCCTTGCCAGATAGGACTATAAGAGCACGCGCCAGGACGTGGCCTCGTATAACCGCTGCACCAGCGCTAGCAGGTTGTGCTTGCCGAGGATGACGCAGCCGCCGAGGGTGGAGCCGAAGTCGGCCTTCCACTTTAGGAGCACGCCATCGTCAGTGCCAGCTCGATGTGGAGGCACCGCAGTTGAGCGGAGCACCTCGGAGCGCGAGTGGTGGACTGGTGGGAGACGTCCGCGATGGGCGCGGGCAGTGGCTCGGAGCGTCAGGAGACGCCCGCCGCGGCGGGGGACAGGATCTGTCCGAGCGCGTGGCGATGCCGCCGACCAGGAGCCCGATATAGCGGAGGAGGAGGAGGACGGCGGGTCGTCGGGATGACGCAGTCGACGCGGACAAAGACGGAGTCGACCAGCAGCACGAGCGCGTGGAAGCGCACGCAAGACGAGGGCGCAGCTGTCGAGCACCTTGATGTCGCCGATGCGGTTGAGGACGTCCCGCTGCAGGGCCCTCCTTCTCCTTCTCCATCCCACGCAGGTTACATGCACATAGATGGAAATACTATTTTTAGTTCACGATTCAATTTTTGATGATATTTTACGAGGACGTAAACTTCCGCCAATTTTCTCAACCAAAAATATCCCCCGCGGTTAACAGCTCACCACCTCGCCGGTAGATCTCCCCCGCTTGCTCCTCCGCCTTCCTTTCTCGAAGCCCCCAATTTATTCCCTTCCCCGTAATCCCGCAGCCTTGCCGAAGCCAAATTGGTACTCCTCTTATCTCGCCGCGCCGCCGCCGCTCCATTTCCGCTCTCCCCCAAAACCTCGAAACCCTACTCGCGGGATTCCGCGGGGCCGCCGCTTGCTTAGGGTTCATCCACTACGGCTTACACCCCATGGCCGTGGAGGAGGCGAGCAGCAGCGGCTGCGGCGGCGGTGGGGAGGAGGGGTGCGGGGCGTGGACCCGCGAGCAGGAGAAGGCGTTCGAGAACGCGGTGGCGACGACGATGGGCGGGGAGGAGGACGGGGACGCGAGGTGGGAGAAGCTAGCGGAGGCCGTCGAGGGGAAGACGCCGGAGGAGGTCAGGCGGCACTACGAGCTGCTGGTGGAGGACGTCGACGGCATCGAGTCGGGCCGCGTGCCGCTTCCGACGTACGCGGCTGACGGCGCCGCCGAGGAAGGGGGTGGCGGTGGCGGCGGGAAGAAGGGAGGTGGGGGAGGAGGGACCCACGGGGACAAGGGGTCGGCGAAGGCGGCCGAGCAGGAGCGCAGGAAGGGCATCGCCTGGACAGAGGACGAGCACAGGTTGACTTCTACTTCCAGCTTTGATTCTCGCGCCCATAATTGAAGTGATGCTTGATAATTGGTTGCTGAATTGCCTGTGTTTCCTCGTAGGGGAAAGCTGGTACTATGTTGAACGTTACTGTTTTATTGGGGATTATGTTAATTTATTATTCTGCATAGCTGTCATAGTTTTTTAAATTATTTGTTTAGGTAGTTTACCTGATGCTCTTGGCAGCAAAACTGGGTGTGAGTAGTGCCTACTGGGTAGGGCACTGGGTACGCGTACACCGCACCTTGTATGTCCGGTAACTAGGTTTAGGCTGTTTCCTCCTGCATGAATGTTTATTGGTTGGGCTGGTGACGCACACGAGTAGGGTCAAATTACATTTCAGCAGGTGCATTCCATGCCTTAGGAGCTAGGATCCTACAACCTTATTTTGGGTTTATGTTCATTTATTTGTGCCCTTGTCGTATTCCGTTGGTGACTTGGATATACGTTACTTAGATAGTTAGCCGTTGCTGCTAAATGGCTAAGCTGGGTGCCCTGAGGAGTGTCTGTCCGTTTGTGCGATTTGGCGGTTCTGGTATGTGTGTCATGATTCTTTCAGCTGTTATTCACCTATTGGTGGATTAGAATTGGTGCATGCTCTGTTGGGTGGCCTGGAGATTTTGAATTCTGTTATTTAGATAGTCAATTTCTGTTGTTCAACATGTAAGCTCATTGCAGGGACGAGTGTCGGTTTGTGCGTTTTGGCAGTTTTGGTATGTTGTGCATGATTCTTTTCAGCTGGCATTCGCCTCTGGATGGATTAGATAATATACTGTGAACTCTGTTTGCCTGACTCAACGCTTGCAATTATTGTAATCTATACATTGATAGTTTGCTGAATAAGTGTACTGTATTATATTGGAATTACATCCTCTGTATGTACTGGTTTTAATTGTATAGGTGATGGATGATACTAGTGGCACTTTTTTTTTTTTTTTACTTCTGCATTAAAATCAGTGTTTCCAAACATTGGTTGTAATTTACATAAGCATCAAAGTTTTCAACAACAAAAGCATATTGGATACATCTATCTTGTTCCAGTGCACTATTTTCTTTTGGGGACCAAACTGTCCTCCTACATTTGCTAAATGAACTTTAATAAACTAGTCGCCCATGATATAATTATAAATTATTGTGCCAGACGGCAAATGAAAGGAAAAGTCAAGTACAATATAGCTCTTATTTTCCCTCTACCTGACTTGCTTTTAAAAAGTTTGAAATTAGGTGTTTCTGCTATATGCATGATTTCATGCTTTTTGGTATATACTCCTGTTTTATTCCCTCTGTTTTTTATTGCTGTTCTTACCACCTTCTGATATTTGCTATGTGGCACCCTTTAGAGAATGCCCTATTCAGTATTAACTTGCTAAGTTTGAAGTTATCGTGCATTCATATGTGCGTGTAGTGGTGTTGGTGCTATAGGCACCTTTTACAAGTAGTCCTGTTTTTATGTACGACCCCATTGTCGTCAGTTTGTTGATAGTATTTCTGTTAGGTAGATGATAAATTCAATTCAATATACCTCGTTTTGTGTGAGTGATAAAGATGAAATTTGTGTGAGCAAGGGTGACAGAAAAAAGAGCAAAAGATGGGTTCCTTTTTCTCAAACAAAAAAGATGGGTCCAACACTTGTGATTTTAATGGTTAAATGACTGAAATTGTATCTGGATGTAATTAGCTTGTTGAGCCAATGTCATAAGGTGAAAATACATACTGCTAATGATTAAGCAGAAGCATTGGGTGGAAGTAGTCGTAGTACGTTCAAAAACAAATGGCTTGAGAATGCAGCTATTTCCCAAGTATCTGATATCATGCATAAAGTTAAAGAGATGTTTTTATCACTGACATGGGCACACCATCAAGTATTATGTTTCAAGAACAATTCAAGTGGCGACATATCATAGATGACACATTCAGCTTTCTTTTTCCTCCTGAAATCTCAATGTTCTAGGTGACTATATTTAACATAAGTAACTTGTATATTCTTTTTCCTCCTGAAATCTCAATGTTCTAGGTGACTATATTTAACACAAGTAACTTGTATACAAGAGTTGAATAATTTATTTTAACCATTGCTTCTTTCTTCTGGAGACTGGAAATACAGTATAACTTACTCTCAAAAGCTTCATCCACCCAGAGTTTGTATTGCTATTGGAATACTCTTTAACTTGATTTTGATTTTGCAGATTGTTTCTCCTTGGACTTGAAAAGTATGGAAAAGGTGACTGGCGGAGCATCTCACGGAACTTTGTGATCTCAAGGACACCAACTCAAGTAGCTAGTCATGCACAGAAGTACTTTATCCGTCTGAACTCAATGAACAGAGAGAGGCGGCGATCAAGTATACATGACATCACCAGTGTGAACAATGGAGATGCATCAACTGCACAGGGTCCAATCACAGGTCAAACAAATGGTCAGGCTGCAAATCCTGGGAAACCATCCAAGCAATCCCCACAGCCAGCGAATACACCCCCAGGCGTTGATGCTTATGGCACAACAATTGGACAGCCAGTTGGTGGCCCCCTTGTCTCAGCTGTTGGAACTCCCGTTACACTACCTGTTTCTGCTCCACCTCATCTGGCCTATAGCATGCATGCCCCGGTTCCAGGAGCCGTAGTGCCTGGTGCTCCCGTGAACATTGCTCCGATGCCCTATCCAATGCCACCCCCATCATCTCATGGGTGAGGGACACATTTCAAATGCTGTGTGGCGTCTAGACAAAAGCCCATAATCTCCCTATGTCAGCGTTTAGCGGGTGTGCTGCCATGTCTCAGTAAAGCAATACCAATAAACCCTTGTACATTACAAACTGTTGTTCCATGTTGCATTGAGGACATTGCAGATTATGTACTTTGTGTTGCATGCAAACTATTTCATGTACACCTGCTCCAAAATCCAAGTGTTTCAGGACTGGTGCTGCCAAGTGTCTTGGTGTGGCAGCGTTTCAGGCTAGACGGAGCTTGTGCTTCAGACAGTATCTGTGATTTGTAACTGCATACCAGCTGCAACAAGAGTAAGATAACACCCCCTGTTTCTCATGTCCATTTTACCAAACTGTGTGGCTAGTTAAGTACTGGTAGAGCATCTCCAAGAGTCTCTGTAAAAAAGATGTCTAAAAACTAGGATTTAGAGGATCTTCAAAATAGATAACCCTCCAAAAAAAACTATAATACCCCCAACAGCATCTCCATAAATTAAGTCAATTCTCTGTTCATTCTCTATATCTGTTGCTTGGGACAACACCGTTCGTTCTTCTCGTGCGCCTCGTTCTGAGCCTTGGTGCGTGCCGCCTCCGTCTCCGTCGCCACCATCGCCTCGCAGCCACCTACGGCTCTGCTCTGAAGAAATTGGTGAAGGTTTCTTGAGGCTGAGAAGATGGCGATGGGTAAAGCCAGAAGTTCAGCAGTCAAAAAATTTAACCTGGGAAACACATCCGATTTATTCTTGTTGATTATCATGTGTTCCTTTTTGCCAACTCGAAATGCAAGGCTCATACCACACCTTACTGAAGCCTGTAAATCCTACCTGGACAGCAGTGTACATGAAGCAGCACAAGGAGAGCTTGGCTTGCCCCGCACATTGCCGTCGTGCTGCTTGGGCGCTTTTCGCCATCTCTGGCCTCTTCCACAAGGTGGAGGCCTCGCTGCCCCGTTCTTGGTCCGCGCACCTTGCAGCAGGGTACGAGAGCTTAGCCCGCACCGCCGTGTCGCTGCTCGGCGACGTCCCACGCCAGCGTGCGTGGCGCGTCATACGCCGTCTTTGTCACCACCGAGCCCACCATCGGAGTCCACCACTCCTTGGTGCAAGATTCAAGCTCCTCCTGGTTGTCATCCTCGGCGCCCTCTCCGCCATAGCTGTGAACATCGGATGACGGCGCGCGGGGGGCAAAGGCCCAGGTACTCGCGCCGCACGCGTGGGATGCGCGAGGTACGCGCAGGTAGCGGATGGCGAGCGGGTGCCCGCTCGCTTTCTCTAGCGACCGAGAAAGCCGGGATAGAAGACCCGGGATTTTAGACTGTTGGACGTGTTTTATCGTTCAGAAACTCAAAATCGGATTTTAGCGTGTGCCTGCTCTTTCATTTCTGACATCGGTAGCCTTGCTTTGGTGGGAATTTAAATGAGGTAACATATCAGTAAATAAAAATAATGATGTGACATTTACAGTTGGAATTTTGTTCCTATTTAAATGAGGTGACATGTTAGCGAAAATAATGACAAGGTATAGGAACAGGATTTACAAGAGGAAATGAGTTGTGTTTGTGTCTAGATGAAAGTCATAGCGCACACCATTTCCATTGCATTAGAAACTAAGTGAAACTTTTGTTTCATTCCCATGTGTTGGAAACTGAGTGAAAGTCTACTAGAAACATTTCATTTCCTAACACCAGGCAACAATTAAATACGTAGACCTATGAAATTGTGCGCTGTAGGTCTTATAGTTTTTTTTTCAATGACCCATTCCTCACTCTTAGAAACTGTATAATCAAATCTAGCACTCGAAATGGCCTTATGGGTTGTATGGTAAAACATTATTTAAAGTATACTTCCTTCGTCCTAAAGACATTATATAGGATAAGATTTAATCAAACCTTTAAAACTATAAAAATAAATAACTTTTAAATTATTTAGTTGAAAACAAGCAAGCTACATTTGTAGGATTATATTGAAAAACCATAAATTTCATAAATTTGAATAATTCTAAAAATGATATTATAGAACAAGTTAGTGGATTTTTAAACATTTGCAAAAAAAAAACACACGTAGACATAGATGTGAAGCATTTTTCTTAAAAAAAAGATGTTCTAAAAAATTAGTGGTTAAAATTTTGTATAAGGCAGTTTTTATTTAATTCCAAACATATTATATCGAAATGATATAAAGTCTTGAGAAGAACTCCGCTACATATAACCAATAAACAAATAGAAGAACCAACACATTCCAATGGCTACAAATCCATAGATAAAATCGTCACTGACGTGTTTAAAAAAAAACTGGCTACATGTCCCAACAGTTATGAGATTGCCACAACCAAACCCTAGTGATTATGAACGATAAACCAAGCGCGTGGCCAATGAATAATTGAGTAAACAACCTATGTAGGAGAACTATATTTCTTTTTTTTTTATAAAACAATGTCATTTCTATTTAACCATAATGACCAACGAGTAGTAGCCTCTCCTAACAAAACAAAGACCATGCCAAAGTAAAATGTGATAAGTATTTTGAAGGAGGAAGTATAAAATTCAATTTCTCTAAACAGGCGGAGAGAGTAGAAGACATGTGCTTTGAACAGGGAGTATTTTGCCCACTGTGGAAATATTGAAAAAAACATTGATCCACTACCCCACACAAAAAGAACTAATTGTTTCCGCTCTTAGACGCGCAATTACTCAATGTTTTTCTATAACTCATGACTACTAAATGTTAACAACTGAATTTAGTACCTAAGTGAGTTCTTAAGCATGTCTTTAGTCTAGAGATAAAATGAGATGGAATGGTTCCATATCCTTGATTTTTGAGATGGGACCTTCCCGGCTAGGGTTTGGTTGAACGGGATAGAACCATATAGTTTTTGCATTCATCAAAATGCTATTTTTTTCAAAATCAAACAGTGAAATATGTTTAATCCTAGCATTTTCATGCTTGACGGTTAGATTGATGCTTCTAATGGTCATCTAGTCTAACTTCAACCAGCTTGACCAATCAAACTAGCCACACCAGTGTCTGGCGGTTAGACAACAAGCTCTCGTGGTTCGATCGCCAAGCCATCTAGAGACCTATAACACCTCTATCCCAGATGGTCCCACATGTTAGACATACATTGCATCCAGTAGAACCTTAGCTCGCCACTCCCTCCCAACCCCCTCTCACTAGCTAATACTCTCACTATAAGAAAGTGGAGATTGAAGGAGACCTACGAGAGCACCACCACCCTAGCGATCTTCCTCCCTACACTCACTATGTAAGGGGATTAGGATCATAACCATACTCCTAAGATCCCTCCTTGTATCTCTATAAGTTTGGCAAGAACAAAGGCAAGCTCTACACAAGCACCCCTATATACCAACCTAGGGCCCTAGAGCAAGCTTACTCACTTCATGGTAGACCTTATCTACTTTGAATCCTTCCTAATATGAAGTTGAAACCCTTTATCAGAGCTCTTCAAAAGGATAGCCATGGATAAACTAGATTTTAGTTAGCCCCTTGTTTGAGAAATGTGTGTGGTTAGATGCCCTCTAGACCTTCCTCACTACATGTAGAAACCAACCACCACCTTAACAATCCGTTGGCCAATTCGTTCTCGGCAATCCTAGGATAGAACCTCGGCCACATCATAGTGCTTGATGGTTTGACCTAAAGGCTCCATAGTAGTTAGTTGTAGGAGACTAACTCAACATGACAGTCATAGTTCTAGATCACCAGCCTTTGTCTAGTGATGGTTAGACCGACCTCCGTCCTTGGTCAGATCGACCCAACCATGGTCAAACCTTTCCACACCATGTTCAAACATATGTGTAACCCTTGTGCTTTAAACACCTCGCACATCGGTTAATAACATGTTACAATTGCACACCTATATTAACTCTACTCCGAAACATGTGTTCAAGCATGTTTCATATGCAATCCTATCATTCTTATTACTAATTTATCCTATGCACCGGTATGGTGACTGAAGCGATTGCAAAGGTGAACATCGACCTTGAGCCAATCCCATGGAGGTGCAATATTCTAGAAAAAACCCTATGCATCTTGATTATTTTTGAGAATGAGTAATAGTGCTATGTTGCTATTACTTATGCATGATCAAACTTACCTAATACAGTCAATGACTTATAAACCCACCTGTATGCATGATCTTCCTTGTTATATTGTTCACCATGGACCTTCAAGTATGTTTGATTAGTTATGATGCGAAATGCTTATCCATGCTTTCAGATGTAGCTTCACGTGTCATGCCATCTATCACACTCACACCTAAGTTAACACTAACACAAACATGTTTGCAGTGGAATATGTAGTCAACCTTGATTTAGCACGTGCGAGCCCGTGAAACTAATTTTTTTTTTGTCTTATAGTGCACTAAAACTACAGATCTACTATATCTCTAATGTTAATCACATATCTTTTCTTTAACATTAATTACATATCTTTTTTGTTACAATGCATTATGAAGCAGGGTTGTTTAAAATTATAGGTGTTAATAATGTGTATGTGTACTCAAGTGTATAACATTAAATTAAATTTGGCAAAGTAATTGCATGTGTCGACATGTATAATATATTTTTAATAAAGCATATATGATTTTCAATATCGCTAGAATCATAATTATGCGATTCGATTTTATACAAAATGATCACGAAGCAAAAGAAAAACATCATAGCTAAGATATCTGCCAGTCAAAATTTGCTTGAGATATTAAGGAATTATAAGGAGCAATGAAAAGGTATATACCACTACTTCAAACCAGTCACCTAAGCGAAAGGTGTGGAGAAAAGGTCTAGACATGAGGTCAATAACATTAGAAAATCATAAACATATAACATGGAAGTATTAAGTTGCTATGAAATGGTGCTTCTATGTTGGTTAATGTTCTTCATAGTGCGAAATGTCATTTCATAAGAGCCTCAATAGCAATGTCATTTCATAAGAGCCTCATTAGCACCTCAGGTTGTGGGTTCTGACTCCTCGTGGGAGCGAATATTTCAGGATTTAATGGCATTGTGCTTTTAGTGGTGGGCGACGTTCCCATCGACGGCGACGCGCGTGTGGTGACTTCGTTAATCTCGATGATTTGCCTGCCCAGTCTTCGAAGATACTCATAGGGGTGAATGTGCGTGCGTTGTGAGCATGTGTTGTACCGTGTAATTCTAAAAAATATCTACATTATATTGAGCGATGTATGTTCAAAGATGCATCTCATTCTCTCCTTCCAAATATATTCCACATGATATATACATAGAGGGTGTCTATCCCAATTTCCAATACATGATTTAACTCTAAACTATGGTAGAATCTAGGCAGTATCACTTTCTTATAAGCATGTAACAGATGCCATATTTTTCGGCTGACATTCCATTTATAGTTTTTGTTTGGCAGTGCAGGCCAGCTTTCTTTTTGTCACAAGATATTTTACCCCGTCCTCGATCTCCCAAAGGAAAATTCCCCAAAGCCCGAAATAAAGCAGGCAGCACCCACAGAGAGACGACCTCTTCAAGGCCACAGCCGCGGCCACCACCACCTGGCCCCGTCCCTCCCTTCTCTTGCAGGCCATACACAGACGTCGCTGCTCCGCATGGCCAACGCGAAGGGCTCGTCCGCCGGCGCCGCCGGCGCAGGCCACGCCGACCTCGGCAGGGCCATTTCTCACGAGCAGCACCAGGCGTTCATGATGGCTTCCGTGCACCGGGCCGCCCCGGGGGCCGCGAACGTGCACCAGCAGCACTTCCACCAGTACCCCGCCGGCCTGATCCCAACGCCGGTGGCAATGCCGGTTCACGTACCGGTGTCACAAACCCCGTACTCCGCCCAGATCGCGGTGCCGCCGCCGCAGCCGCTCATCCCACCACCAGACCACCGCCTGCACTCCCTGCCGCCTACCGGTCAGTACACCGGACGACGCGCATGCCGAATTACGCGTGATCTTGTAGTTTATTAGGGTTTCTTCGATGATGCTTCTAGGGTTTTGATGCGCGCTCGGATCTGTGCGTCGGCTCGCGCTACATGTGGGGCGATCTGATTCTGTCCCCGGTTGTTCTTATATTAGCGGGTTTTATGGTCTCGTAATAATTAGCTCCCGGCCCGGTTTTGATAAAAACTTATGATTGGCCAGCTGTATTTCATCGTTGAAGTTATCTGCTCTACGGGTTCAGAGCCATTTTTCACGCAATTCTAAGATCTCCATTTGCCATTTTAATCTCACTTCAGGTGATCACTGAGAAAATCTTTCAACCAGTTACCATTTATATCTAGCCATTCATATAGTGATTCTTTTTTATCTCTGGTAGATAACCATGTATATATGTACTACTAGATATGATTAGCATCATCGTCTTCCTGCAGGGATCATGTCGTTGTTCAGCATCTTTACTATGTTACACTTATCAATTCTTGCTACTTCATCTTCTTCTTCACTCTTCATCATTTTCATTACTATGTAAAAATCTAATTAAGCTTTGCTCCCATATTTTCCAGGATGCTACCAGGATTATTCTTCATATGGCACCACTGCATCTTTGCAGCACACAGCAGCAAGGGGTTTTGCAGACTGGGGAGCGCACAGCAATGCACTCGTGTCCTTGGCTCATGCCACTAGTTTTGACAAGGGGAGCAACAATATCAACAGCAATGGACTATTACATCAAAATTTATCCCCGTACACCACCCATACATGGACTACTACTTACGTGCAGAGGCCTTACAACACTGCTTATGCTCCTGCAACAATGAATATGAATATGCTCCAAACTCCTTCCTTTCACAGCAACAACCATGAAAAAGAGTCAGGTATATATATGCGCGTGTACATTTGGCACTTAAAAAATGGAATATCTGCATGAGTTTGCTTTGTGTAGCGGACTGGTCACTGGTGGATTGTTTCTAGTGGGGCTAGTCAGTTAAGAGGACCTCGGAGCTAGTGCAAATTTGGGTGCATAGAGCTGGGCCTGTGGTACAAATATGGTGAATAATTGATAGCAATAATTGATTTCTTGTTTTGGTGTGGGTGTGGCTGCACGCCCGCACCCATGTTGCCCTCTATGGATCCGTTGCCCCTACTCGGGGCCATGATGTAGATAAAGAAAGGAGATAGGAGTAGTATTTTGCTTGCTTGTATTCATTAATGGCGTTTCCTCCTTATTTGAGATTGTTGGCTCTAGCAAAACCTCTAACAAATTAACAAAGCAAATTCCTGATCACAACAAGACAATTTTGTCTAATGATATGATTTACCTTGATTCAAAAATAACTAGCTCAATATTCTTATTTGAGTGGCCGTAGCTTGACTTGTGACGCCACCATAGATGCAAACCCACATAAGATTTTGGCACTATGTTATCTTGGAGTGGAGGGACCCTATATCTTAAGGGTTTGCTTTAACTCATGAGAACTTGAGGGAAAATGTACGTTACGAGTGAAGCTGTTTGAAGTAGAAATGGTTTGTCACATTCATCATTATAGCGCAAGGGTTGACCACATGAAGTAGGGTAGTGATATATGTCAAATAGGGGCATATTGGTCTTTATTTCTCTTAGGAGATTTCTTCCAAGACCACAGTCTCATTTAGACGTGTCGGACTTCCAAATGTCAAGGTAGATTCATCAGCTGTTTTTGGTAAATACAAACCCACCTAGGACATGCAGAAATTTTAGATAAACTGCTCACCTCTTTTCTAACTCTTATGCAAGTTTTTCCATCCACGAGCCCCTGCAAGGATTCTACTCCAGTCGTTCCAAATTGTAAGTCTTTCTGGCTTTCCTAGATACATTGCTTTTGCTACGCGCCTAGATATTATGTCTATATACATAGTAAAAGCTATATATCTAAAAAAGTCGGAACGATTTACAATTTAGAAAGGAGGGAGTACTTGGCACCATGCTTCTTCATTTGTTATTAAAGTTGTTGGTTAAAAAATCGTAAATGAAGCGGAGGTCCGATAGGGTTATCTTTATGGTTCAGAGAAGTTAGAGTAACGATTTGGGGTCCATTAGGTCAAGGAGCTTAATTCATAGGGAATTAGAGGCATAGCATGGAGTATTACATGAGTCTATAGGTTGTAAGAATGTAAAGGGATGGCTATGAGAGGTTTCGGTTGTTGTTTTGGGGGACGAGTGGGTTGGTGTTAGTGGGGGAGGGGCATTATATACTCTGGTTAATTTCTAAACAGCCTCAATTTCAAAATTAGTTCCGCTCGAAAGTAAAAAACGCTCCGCACCTTGTTCTTTATTGAAATCCAGAAGCGCCTAGATGGATTTATTTTATTTTTCTTGGAGAACAAAGAGCATTTAATTTACTTGCGATAGAAAGTGAGGGGTTACATTATGATTAACTAGCATACCCCGCGCGTTGCTGCGGATTTTTTTTAAATAAATCTATTTTATATATAGTATTACTATATGGTATTCTGTATACTGTGTGTATATATGAATTTGACTTGCATGTTATTTTATTGTATCGGATCTGGTAAAAAATCAGTAAGCTAATAGAAGAAAAACCAATAGAATATTTGATCACATTATATAAGAATAGGTGATGAAACAAATAGTATATGTAAATGACTTTACGTTAATAGATTAGAGATAAAAGTATTGCACATAATAGAGATGACGTGGATGTTTCTTTTGTAATTAATAAGGGATGACATGGATAGCTTGCATGAAAGGATTATAAATTAGTGGGACACTTAGTAAGGAATGATGTGAACAGCTTGTATGAAGAGAGAAAACATCCAATGGGATTTAGCTTTATAAGACTATATAGATTTATAAACATCCCCAGCAACCAAACATTTCTTTTCCAATGCATCCAAGTGCATGTTTCATAAATATGTGATACTAATATAGAAACCTAGTCTCTAAACCTTGCATTTCGTTGACAAAAAAATATATGCATGTCATGCAGCTATATATGGTTTGAAATAAAAAGGAGAAATGTACTGTGTGTTGCTTCATTACTTATCATTTGGTGGTGCGCAGGTGCAGTTTTTTCAAATAGCTTTAACATGGGCCCATCAGTGACACCTACCTCCCCTTTTCAACTTATGTCTCCAAGCTCAACCAACTACACTTCCACTCAAATCTTCGAGGAAACCAACAACTTAGAGGTAACATTAGGACTCTTTCAGAGTATGGTGAAAATGTTTTTTTGTTCATATGAGCAGTTATGGTGTCATGATTCTCCAGGACTCTTCAAGAGACTTTGGAGGTGGGGATAACGAAAGCAACAACAGTGAGGAACCAGACCCCACTCCGGCTGTGGAGATGGAAGACCTAAACCAGGGCAATGGCCATATTAATGTTACAAATAAAATAGTATGTTGTCATTTTAATGCATCTTGTGCTTTGTTGATACTATTAGTATTTTCTATACATGATTAACACATTATTTAACTCAAGAAAATAATTTTACTCATGTTAAAATAATTTTAACATAATTTTAGGTACTCCCTATTTTCCAAATTGTAAGCCAAAATGACTTACAATTTGGAATGGAGGGAGTAGCTAAAATGTACTATAGAAGGTATCACTCTCCAGTAGGTATTACTGGTATGCCAAAATTCATTGCTAACCACTTAAACAATCTATCATATTTGATGGCTGCCTCCTGAACTAAGTCCTTTTTTTCGAGTCTGTCTACTATACAACCATGTATTTTATGCAGTTTCAACACATGAATTTTTTTGCACCATAGGATTAAGATCCAACAGCCTCCACCCTTCTTCTACCTCTAGCCTCCAGCCTCCACAGATCACAGATCATAATTTTTTTTCTATGGAAGGACAAATCACAGATCCGCCGCCGCCGCCACCGCTGCTGCCATGGGCACGGGCGCCGGGGCGAGCTCGCCGGTCGCTGGCGCTGGCGCCGGTGGTCACCGGTGAGAAAGAGAGAGGGAGAGAGATACAAAAAAAATCCATGTGTTTTTTTTTTTTGCTAAAACACATGTGTGTTGTATAGCATTTCTGTTTTTTTCTCATATGCCAATCTGTTACATGCAAAAGGTCAACTGTCAAGATTACCGTATGGTCTTGCGCAAGGACTTGACAAACAGTGACGTTGGAAACATTGGAAGAATTGTGCTGCCAAAGGTAGATACTTGCACTTGCATATCCTGTTAATTGGGCTTTACTCTCTGGTATGTTTACTGTGTTCTACATTATATTTCCAGCACGAACCCCAGCTGTAATGCAAGTAAATTTTTAACTGTGTGCTGCAAGTCATCTTGCAATTTCACCTTTTTCTGAATTCTGTAGAAAGATGCAGAGCCTAATCTTCCAATCTTGGAAGATAAGGATGGCCTGATACTGGAAATGGACGACTTTGAGCTCCCAGCTGTATGGAAGTTTAAGTACAGGTATCTTCACCATATTGTACTACTATTGGTTGCTCAAATGCCAGAGTTTCTGACGATCAACAGTTTAGAGTGAACATTTGCCTATAATTTCTCCAGATGCCAAAAAGTAAAACGCTTACATTGTGCAAGCCTCAGCTTTGAGGATTGATATATCTGCCTGTTGCTCGGCTATTGAATTTTATCATGCTGATGCAATACATTTTCTTTCAGGTACTGGCCTAATAATAAGAGTAGGATGTATATCTTGGAAACTACTGGTAAGTTGATAATAGAGTAAAAGTAATTCTGAACTTAGAATTCTGTATAGATGTCAAAAAATTGCATGTCCTATTCTCAGGTGAATTTGTTAAGAGGCATGGACTTCAAGCTAAGGACATCCTCATCATTTACAGGAACAAGAAATCTGGCAGATATGTATGTAAAAGTTAATATTACCCACTTCCTTATTCTGCCAGCTACATTCTACGGAGTATTATTGTTCCTCTGATCATATCCATCTTGCATCCTGACACCTCTGATCATATTAAGAGTTACTTTCCATTGTACGGAGTAATATGTATGTATTCTCTCATTTTCTTTTCCTGACAGCTCTATTCTATCTTCTCATGCCTCTCTCCTCTCTGTGCTAAGGTTGCCCGCGCGGTGAAGGCTGAGCACATACCAGCACCAGGATGCGAGTGCATCAAGGCAGGCAACCCCAGAGAAGAGTGCGGCTTCTCCGTCAGTCCTTCGACCAAGAAGGTTACCATGTAGATGGTTAGAGCTTCGTACCTGAATCTGGGCGTCAGAAGATAAAAAAAAAAACATCAGAAATGTATGGTGTAGGCTGTTGCCGTGCAGGAGCACGTCGGGAATCGCCGCTTGATGAACCTGGAGCCAAGGAAACTATTGTGATCGAGGTTGTATCATCGAAACTGAATTCCCCCTGAACCTGCCTAGGCCTGTACTGTACTGTACTGTACTGTTTCCCTTGTTGTTGGCAACCATGCTGTTACATGTAGGCATGTAGCTTGAGATAAATGAATTTGCTTTGTACCTGTACATATTTCGTGTTTGGATAATTCGGTGAGAAACAAGTCATGGGCGTTGTGCCGTCTTCTTAATAATTCTGATCCCCATGGCGCCGTAGATATATATTTGTTTTCATTTCTGAAGTCGTTGCCTTTTTCATTTCACTGATGCTACAGTAAAATCGCCGGTCCAACAGAAATGGTGGAGAGAGTGTGATTTCCTTGAACAGTGTTGGTGAAACCTAAGCCGGAACCGGTAAAAGTGGCCTATAACAAGCCTTAGCGGTTAAATCTTTTCGGTCCAGCAGGAATAGGCTAAAGGTTGTAGACTTCTAGTGAGATCTAGCTGAAGTTGTTGTGACCTAAACACGACCTATTTGAACACGAGACACATAGGTGCAGTAGCACGGAATGAAAAGTATCATGGGAGGACATGGGAAAGCATGTAGAGCATGCTCATCAGTCCCTGGAGCTATAATCTATCCCACACCACCTAGGGACTACGCACCTACTCCTGCAGTAGTATCTATGATCAGAACCAATCACGTGTGTGTGTTGTTGTCATCTTTCTAATAAGGGAAATGTGGAGTTGTATTTTAGTTTACTTCAATTTTTTCGGAAAACTAGTTGGTCCAGAAAAAGGCTAGCCACCAACTGTAGTACATGAAAAATAATTGAACTGCTCAAGGAGACACTGTTAGATTGATCTCAATCTCAAACTGGGCCCAACAGCCCAGTTGGGCCTTTGATCACGACGATCGGGGCGCCCAGCCCACTATGGTGGAGGAGGCCTCGTCACATCAAGTAATAAATAGAGGTGGGGCCAAAAGTTTAAAAGGTAAACAAGCCAAGCCCCAGTACCTAAACCCTTAAATCTTTTCGGTCCAGCAGGAAGCCAGGCGCCGCTTCCAAGGTTGTAGACTCTTAGTCGATCTAGCTGAAGTTGTTGTGACCTAAACACGACCTATTTGAACACCGAGACACATACGTGATGTAGCACGGAATGAAAAGTATCATGGGAGGACATGGGACAAGCCTTGTCCATCCCCTCGTGTCCATGTCTCTGGAGCTAGAAATCCTAGGTTTTGGTTCATCCAATAGGGAGTAGCACCTCGGATCTCCTGCTAGTATGATCTAGATTCTTAACAACCAATCACGTGTTTGCAAGGTGTAGATCATGGCTTTCTAGAAATATTAGGAAATGGAAGTTGTATTTTAGATTTACTGGGTTTAAGAAAAACTAGTTGGTCCAGAAAAAGGTAACCCTAACCTAATTGTAGAAAGAAAGAAAAAATAATTGAACTGCTCAATGAGACCCTAAACACTGTTAGAATCCATCTAGGGAAGAAGAAACGATTACTCATCCCAAACCCTAACCCTAATTTTTGACCCCATCCCCAAATCGGGTTAATCCAGAAGAAAGAAGGGAAAGGGAGAAGAGGAAGAGACGCTTTGGCTGGATTACCCACTGTCTGCATCATCTTCTTTGCCGCCTCATAGAGGTGGGGAGAAGCGGCTCAAGTCACGAGTTCGCTTTGAGCCAAGCTCCCAACAGGACACCTGGCTCCCTAATCCGCGGCGAGTGTGGCGCTGGCGGAGGGAGGCGCGCCGAAGCCACCGGGGGCGGCCGCGCGCGCCGCTCCCATCGACGCTCGACGTCTTCATCGCTCTCTTCGAGAGAGGAAGAGAGAGAGAGAAGGAGAGGCGCGAATGAGGGTTATGGTTCGAGGAGGAGGCGTGATGGCGGTTTTCTTCACCGATCTCACCGCTGCGGTGTCGGTTGAATCAACCCTTGTCCATCCGGATCATCGGCCACATCATGTCTCTCTGTCTAGAATGTGTCCTAGGTTTTGGTTCATCCAATAGCGAGTAGCCCTCGGATCTACCCCTAGTACGATCTAGCTGGTTTCTTAACAACCATAACAGAGCAGTTTGAAATGAGTCATTTTTTTTTTGTTTTTCATAAATATTTAGGCTGGAAAATGGTTAAATTAGAAAAGAAAATAGAAAAGAAGGTTAGATCCGTCATGGTAAAATTCACTAAATTGAGATTAACCCTAACCCTAATTATTTAAAGTTGTTAATTTTATTATTAAATTCGGAACCAACAGGAGAATTTAAAATAAAATTGGATATGTTTTTAGCTTAGAATAATATTGTTGTTATCCCGAAACGTTGATTAATGGTAATATTTTGATGAGATCCCATTAATCGGGTTAATCCCAATGATGATGTAGAATTAGTGGAGAGGAGGAATTGTATGTTTTAATTTTGATCAACGTTGGAACTAAGGCATGCAATTGTTATTGTCATTATTTATGTTCTCACACTATATGAATTGTGTTTTCAGGCGAATACAACTTGATGGGTTATATCAAAGAGATCTCCACTCTCAAAGGTGATAACTACACGGAGTGGAAGAAAAAGATTGATCTGGCCTTCATCTTGGCTGAGGTGGACTGGGTAGTCACCTCCACCTGTCCCACCGAAGCTGCTGCTGCCGGTGAGGGAGACAAACGAGGCTGATGAGGGAAGGCAGAGAAAGAGATTTTGCATCCCAAAAGATGTCTTATGACCTTGAGCATAGGAAGTGGGTCACTGCCAACAAGAAATATATGGCTGTGAAAAAGAACATGATTGAGCCTGCAATTGTGGGCTCAATTCTAGGGTGTGACACCGTCACAGAGTACCTCGATAGAATAAAGAGTCAGTTCATGGGCTCTTCAAAGACATATGCTACCCAGCTGATAAAGCAGCTGGTGACAAAGAGGTACTCTGGTAATGGTGGCATAAGAGAGCACATACTAAGGATGAGCAATTTAGCATCCAAGCTAAAACCAATGGATCTAGTTCTCAAGGAAGAGTTCCTTATCCATCTGATTTTTGCTTCCTTGCCAAAAGAGTTTGACACTTTTGTTGTCAACTACAACATACAGCCCGAGAAGTGGGACATGGAGAGGCTCATGGCTATATGTGTGCAAGAGGAGGAGAGAATGAAAGCTGCCAATGGTGGCACTATCAATTATCTTAAAGACAACAAGATAAAGAATACTAATGCTAACTCCTCCTCAAAGTTAAAGGGAAAGGGTCCCATGCTGCATCAGCCTCAACAGAATAAGTTCACAGTAGAGAAAGACTAGTGTCTCTATTGCAAGAAGACGAGACATTATAAGAAAGATTGTCCCGATTACTTAAAGATGATCATGCCAAAGAAAGGTGAGAACATTATTATGTTCATAAATGAATCCCTGTATCTACAGTATTCGAAATCTACTTGGTGGATTGACTTAGGTGCAACTGTTCATGTTGCTAATTCTTTACAGGGATTCCGTTCGACGAGGACTACGCAAAGAAGAGAAAGACACGTTAAAGTTGCAAATGAAGTCCAAGCAGATGTTGAAGCCGTTGGCGATCTTTCTCTAGAGCTTGCTAATGGTTTTATACTTTTACTTAGAGATGTACTATATGTTCCCTCCCTACAGAGAAACTTGATTAGTGTTTCATGCTTGGACAATGATGGATATGATTGCCATTTTGGAAATGCCAAATGTAAGATAACATTTAATAATACATGTGTTGGCCTTGCTATCTTACAAAATAAGTTTTATTTGTTATCACTACGTGATGATGTGAATGTTGTATGCGATGATGGGAACGTTGCGTGCGATAATGAGAATGTATCCTCGTCTGTGGATGTAAACAGAAAACGAAAGAGAGCTCACGATGCGTTGTCAAAATTATGGTACTATCGTTTAGGCCATATTTTGAGGGGGAGAATAGAAAGACTAGTTAAGAATGATATTCTTCCTCCATTAGAGCTCTCAGATTTAGAACAATGCAGAGAATGTATAAAAGGAAAGTATGTAAAGAAAATTAAGAAAGATGCCAAATGAAGCGCAGGAATTCTACAGATTATTCACACAGACATATGTGGTCCGTTTCCTGTAAAGAGTGTGTATGATTATAATTCATTCATAACATTCACAGATGATTGCTCCCGTTATGGCTACATTTATCCAATGAAAGAAAGAACAGAAACATTGGATAAATTTAAGATATTTAAGGCAGAAGTTGAAAACCAACATGATTTAAAGATTAAGATAGTCAGGTCCAACCATGGGAGGAGTACTACGGTCGGCATACCCCATATGGCCAAGTTCCTGGACCTTTTGCAAGGTTCTTACAAGAGAATGGCATAGTAGCCCAGTATTCTACACCGGACGAACCTCAGCAGAATGGAGTAGCTGAAAGACGCAATCGTACCCTGATGGATATGGTGCGTAGTATGATAAGTTACTCCACCTTACCGTTGAGGCTGTGGATGGAGGCGTTAAAAACCACCATTCATATTCTCAATAGAGTACCAAGTAAGTCGGTGCCCAAAACACCGTATGAGTTGTGGACAGGAAGAGTACCCTCACTAAACCACTTACGTGTGTGGGGGAGTCCTGCTGAGGCTAAAGTATTTAACCCAAACATTGGGAAGCTAGATCCCAAAACAGTGAATTGCCATTTCATTGGCTACCTAGAAAAGTCAAAATGTTTTTGTTTCTACTGTCCAGACAGACATACAAAGTTTGTGGAAATGAGACACGCTGTCTTTCTAGAGGATGAAATGATGAGGGGGGGGGCATGGTAGCTCGAGAAATTGATCTTGAAGAGAAGCGGGTGTATGCACCCACTCCGATGATTCATGAGCCATTTTTCTCACTACCTGTTGTCGCTGCACCGACAATGCAAGAT